TGATTCCGTTTTTCAAAGTCTCATTTCCAATTAGGATAGAAACCCCATGAGGAAGGCAATTGGCTGTTTCATTCACTGTGCCATAACTGATGCTTAGCACAGTACTTGACCTGTCACATATGTTTGATATGCTTTCTCCTGCTAAATCCCAATACTGTTTACTTGCTCTGCTTTGTTGTCTTTCTTTAAACCAAATTTGGACTACCCGATTAAAATGACTAAATACTGTGAATGATGAGAGAACTGAAAAAACGTAAGGTTGGATTTGTTAGCTAAAAAACGAAAGAAAACATTATATATCTAGTAACTTGTTAATTAATATACTATAAAGGAAATAAGGTAAGCAAGTTTCTAAAATACATGTTTTAAAGAGATTTATTTTCATATATTTTACAAGAGTAAAATAATTATGATAACATTATCAAGCAGAGATGGCTACAGTGATTTAGAACCAAAGGGAATAAAAATAAGTATTTATAGAATACTTGAAAATTTCTGGAGAAAATTCCAACAAAAATAGTTTTCAAATGTTTTAAAATATCTTATATAAATTAAAAATTAACAACCAAATAGGATGAGGTACACTTCCCATCTATCCACCAGTTAACTAAGTGGAAGGGACCTGGCTCTGACACATTAATAACTCCATTTGTTATTAGTAATTAAGTTTTATACTTTATTAGATTTCATCCTCTTCCTTTATCTGTTTCAAGATTCCAACCAGAACACCACATTTTGTGTGTTTTGTTGTCATGATTCTTGGCCTCCTTTAGATATTTCTCATACTTTCTAATAATTTTGATAGTTCTGAGGAGTGCTGGTATTGTACAAAATGTTACCTTAATTGATTTATCTCATGTGTTTCCTATACTCACACTGGGGCTATACACTAGATGATGAAGTCCTCAGAGTTAGAAGCTCTATACTCAGAATGCTTGCTATCAGCATGATACTACAACTACTATTGCTTATCTGAAGCTACTGCTCATGTTAGAGTTTCTCCACTATAGAAAATCTTCCTTCTCTGCCCTGTTCCTTATTCTGTTCTTGCAAAGTTCTCTATACTCATTCCACATTTATGGGCTGAGGGACTGAACTGCAGGACCTTATGAAAAATTGACTACATAAATTACTTGGAATTTTTCTGTATCAAAGATTTGTTCATTCTCCTGCATTTATTTATTTCAGTAGAGAGTCATGTATTTTTTTATACTTTAAAACACAAATTAATATGTATAATGTTTTTTAATTTTATTGAGCAATTGTTTCAATCTGCCCACTGGAAATCCTGGCAGTTGGGTCCCTGGCCTTTTCATGTGCTTTCATCAAGGTGGCTTTCTGTTTTTGTCTGTTGCTTTAGTTTAGTTTTTGTTTGCCTTTTCAGCATTTCTTGCATTCTTCTGCAATAAGTTATTTTAGATTCACCTTGTATATTTTTCTTCCTATCCCAGATATAACTCTCTCCATTATAGTAGTGTTTCCCTTTTTTAATGCGTAAAAAAACTCTTTCTTTTAACTAATTCCTTCCTAAACAAACTAATTTTCTAACAAATCTGTTGACAGTGTCAGTGAACTGTGAGGCAAAGTATGTCTGAATCAGAGAACTACATTGTGGCTATGAGCCGAAAGTAGCAGCCTGGGGAGAGGGGCTGTACAGAAGTCCCACATCCTATGAGGGTACAAGAAGAGACAGAGGTGTTATATAAATAAACAAAATCTTAGAGAGAGAGAGAGAGAGAGAGAGAGAGAGAGAGAGAGAGCTGTCTGAAACACACATGGGATTGTTAGACACATGTGTGGCAGGATCGACCTGAAGTCAAAGTCACCCGGTCTAGGGCAGTAAGTCCTGTGGTGTTTGGAGTCCAGGTGCTTCTGGAATTTGGGTGTCAGCTGCAGACTGTTTAGAGAGGCTACAACATGAAAATCCCAAACTTTCTCAAATATTTGGGGAGATAACAAAGCCACGTGCAAGAGGCTTTTTCGTGAATTCATACCTTTACAGGAAGGAAGTCAGCGGAGAAAGGGATCTAATTATATTACAATCTCAAAAAATAAAAAAAAAAAGCCACACAGTGATTTTTACCTCTGTCCCATCATCAAGAAGCTCACAAGAATCCTTCTGAACTCCCATTATTGTGTGAAATATATATATAAAAGTTTAAAGCAGATTAACCCATTCACAGGTTTTCCTCTCTCCTGAAGTAGGTGATTGCAACAGTGCATTTGAGGCTCTGCTTAAGCTGTAGCCCAGTAGACTATATAAAGTTAGTCCCGTGAATAGAACTTGTCCTGTGTAATAGGTATTTTAAAGGAATTACTCTGTCTGTCACCTCGATGAAAACCATAGACTTGGTTGTGAATTCTAAGCATGCTTACACTTTTATGACTGTTGAAAAGTATTTCTGATCCCAAATTTCCTGATTTTTAAGAATAACTTGTTCCAGAAATCCCACTTAAGAGATTCTAGCCTTAGGAGCTGCCAAATATAAATTTAGCATACAGGAATTCAAAGCTGCACAACGCACATATGCTAACCAGTATAGTAACAACTTAATGTCAATAAAATGCTGTACTTCTCTTTAAGTGACATGCATTTATTGCTATAGAAAGGAGTTCATATATTTATATTAGGCATAATAATATAGGCCATTGTTGTAGAGTATTATTTTAATTATGTAAAGATGTGTTACATTTTTATGCTGCATAATATTACTTTAGTTGTGTAAAAGTATGTTACATTTGTTTACACTGCATGTCTTTAAAGATGTAAGGATAAGCATTTAAGCATGTAAGGATGTGTTGCAGGTATTTTACCTTGCCAATTTAAGACAACTGGTTACTCTAATAAAGAGCTGAATGGCCAATCACTAGGCAAAGACAGGATAGGTGGGACTCACTGGCAAAAAGAATAAGTAGAAGGAGAAATCAAGAAGAACAAGTAGAGAAGAGAAATGAGGTGACATGCCCAGGGCAAGCCAGGCAGCCACCAGGCAGCCAAACACAGAAGTAGTAACAGTTAGATACGCACAAAGAAAGACAGAAGAAAAAGAAAGAAAGAAAGAAAGAAAGAAAGAAAGAAAGAAAGAAAGAAAGAAAGAAGCAAAGAAAGGCAAAATGCCCTGAGGCAAAGTAGATAAAAAGAAACAGGTTAATTTAAGTTAAAAGAGCTAGCTGGTAATGTGCCTAATCTAGCTCAAACATTCATAACTAAAACTGTCTCCATGTCATGATTTGGGAGCTGGTTGGTGGCCCAAAAGAAAAGGCATGGTACAGTCCATGAGAAAGGAAAGAACTCCAAAAATATAGTCATCAAGTGGACAACTGCAATTATTATAAAGATGGAACTTGTTGGGAGTAAATTTTACTTGTTGCATTATTTGAAATTTTAATATTAAGTGTAAATTATGTTGTTAGAAAACTATAATACTTTATTAACAGATAAGAAACACTGAAACATTCTTTTCAATTGTTTCACCCGGGGTTCTCTAGTGTGTGTATATATGAATATGTATGTGTGTGTAGAGAGAGGGAGGCAGATGGAAGGGTAAGAATGAATTGAATCAGTCAAAGACTATATATACTATGGGGCCTTGGTAAGTTCAATGCCTTCAGTACAAGATAGAAGACTGTAGCACCAGAAAAGAATCATGGTTGAATCCTAAAGTTCTTTGCTCAAATTCTGGGTTTTCTACTGATTCCCCACCATGGCATACTATACAGCTAGGAGATAAGGGCACATTCGTAATTGAAAATTATTTTCCAAGGCCTACATCACATCTAGATTTGGAAGTCCAGTGGGGTCAAAAAAAAGCTTAAAATATCCAAACTAGATGATTACCTTCAATATTGTAAATAAAACTTATTTCTCAGTCACTTCACTTCTTCCGGTTCTTCATAAAAATTTTAAAAACCATCATGGCTATCACCATTGACTCACATCCCACACCCAATTAACCATGCAGCACATCTGTTTCTGATGTTGGAATGCATTAAGAATTTAAACATTAAGTGGTTCTCAGAGTCTTCCCAGACTACCAGTATAACCCAGCCTGAAAATCTGTAGGACGACTCAGATTTACTGATACAAAAGTGAAGATATAGATCAGTTATCAGTGATTTAGCAATGTTTCAGCTGATTCTAAAGCTGAGGTTTTAGTACTTCCCTGGAATAAGTCACCATCCACTGTTGACTTTAATCCAGACTGCCAACGTCACTAGTGCATCACTTCTGTTCCATTCCAGCCTCCTAAACACCATCTTCCACACAACTTGTTTGTGTTTGCAAGTCAGTTTATGTGCCTCCTCTACGACTCTTCAAAACCTTCTCTTATCCCTTGAATAAAAGGTAAACGCCTTAAAATGGCTCCTAAGGTACCTTTACTTTGGACGACTCTCCTCTCTGGCCTTTATTTGTTTTTAGTCTCTGTTTAAAAATCATGTAGAAAAAAGTCCTTTTGTCCATTGTTGCCATATATTTCTACACTCTGTGAAGACACAGTGCTATGATTGGTGTAATAAAGATGTGAATTTGAGGTAAATATCTAGGCAAAGAGAATAGGCAGGAATTCCAGGGAGAGAGACGATTCTGTGAAGAAGAGGGGTGGATTCGACAATAAGCAGGATACTTAGTATGGAGATGAGGTAACAAGCTATATGGCCGGATGTAGGTTTAAAAATATGGGTTAATATAAGTTATAAGAGGTAGTTGAGAGCATGGGGGAGGGAAGAGGGAGCTGTGAGAAGAGAGGGGGAGGAGAGGATGGGGCAGGAGGATCTGAGGGAGCAGGAAGGTTGAGTCAGGGGAAGAATAGAGGAAAGCAGGATGAAAGATACCATAATAGAGGGAGCCATTATAGGTTTGAGGAGAGATCTGGCACTATTGAGATTCCCAGAGATCTACAAGGATGACACCAACTGGCAACCTAAGCAATAGTGGACAGGCTACCTTATATGCCCTGTCTCTATAATGAGATTGATGACTACCTTATATGCCATCCTAGCGCCTTCATCCCATGGCTGATGGAAGCAGAGGCAGACACCCACAGCTAAACACTGAACAGAACTCCTGAAACCCACTTGCAGAGAGGAAGGAGTGATGAACAAAGGGGTCAAGACCAGGCTGGTGAAACATACAGAAGCAGCTGCTGTGAACAAGGCGGAGCTCATGAACTCCAGACTGATAGCTGGGAAACCAGCATAGGACTGATCCAGATCCACTGAACATGGGTATCAGTGAGGGGGCCTCGTCAATATATGGGGCCTTGGGTAGTGGATCAGCATTTATCCCTGGAATACAAATGACATTTGGGAGCCCATTCCACATGGAGAGATGCTCTCTCATCCTGGACACATGGGGGAGGGCCTAGGCCCTGCTATGGATGATATGACAGACTTTTGAGATCCCCCATGGAGGGCCTCACCCTCTCTGGGGAGCAGATGGGGAATGGAGTGGGAGGTTGGGGGGGTTGGTGGGAGGCAGGGGAGGAGGCGAGGGAGAGGGAGCTGGGATTGACATGTGAAGCAAGCTTGCTACAAAATTAAATTTTGAAAAAGTTAAATAATTTTTAAGAAAAGATAAAAATCAGCTAACAATAAAAAAGAGGTAGTTGAGAAAAATCTAAGCTAAGGTCAAGCTTTCCTAATTAATAATAAGTCTCCATGGCATTAATTACAGGCTAGTTGTGCCAACAAAAAAGTACTACTTCAGTTCATCTGGAATAGAATACTGCCTTCTACATGTCACTCAGACGATTTTATTTTCTTCATAGGATTTTTCATCATTTGACATATAACACTTTCACTATTTTGCCAAGAGACATTTGAACTCAGAGTCAAATAAGACTACTGATATTCAGAGTACATATTTAATGTTGATGTAGAGAGAGATCCTCCAAGTGCCTTTTGCTTCATAGCAGAAAGATTTTTAGGGTCAAAATCAAAGACTATCAATTATTGAATATGCAGTGAGAGAATATTAACAAGTTATAAAAATTCTTTTCCTGGATGACGTATACCTGTAGGCCCTTTCAAACATAGATTTTGGTCAACTGTTCTTAATTCTGTGTTAAAGTATATAGCCCAATAAAAATGTGGTAAAATAAAAAAACTCTGAATATATTACAAGTTAATGGATACTGCAAGAAAGTTATAGTAACTACATGATACACTAATCAATACTGTATTATGTGAACTCTTAGGTAGCAAAGTATTCAAGAATTATTAAAATCAGGTAATATATTTTTGAATGTATAACACTGATAATAACAAGAGTGGTGCATAAAGTCATAAAGTCAGCAAAGCTGCTTGACAAAGATCCAGCAAAGCTGAGACACATGATAGGCTCTGGGCCAATTTTGGTTTTGAACACTGCATGTCATGTTGCATGTTTGGAAGGCTTTTAATATTTGTACAACTTTGGGGTATTGGATTAATGAGAAATTTCTTATGAATCATTATGCCTTCTTCCAGGAGTACTGCTTCTAAGCTCACCAGCAAAGTCTTAAAATACTTCTTTTAGGGAAACATTCTTATCTACTTCAACTTCTTCCTTATGCCTTGGAGATTGTGACCCACACAAAGAAGCTAGAGATCTCTTTACAAGACTGTGAAATACTCTTGAAACATCTGCCCCTGTACTTACTCAGGAACAAGAAAATCAGAACAAAGTACAAGCCTCTTCCTACTATTCACTCAGGAGATTATGGAGCATATACAGCAACAAAGTTAGATTAGCTGGAGTTACTGCTGTCCTACCAGCTGGCTTATATTGATGGACAAAGAATGATGTGAAAAGATGATAAAAGAACGGCATGTCAGGACCTTCCTTTCTTAGAAGTTTTAACTCATGCAGAGCCACTGTGGTGTCATATGACTAAGGAAAAAAGAGTATCAATTTTAGATATATAAACAAATTCTATAAGGATATGAAATATAAACATATTATTCCAGAAAATAATGACTGCAGCAGCTTTGGCACAAGGACTTTTACTGGGCCTGTTGGCACTCTGGATGACTAGGACTTAAAAATACACAGTTCTGGATTTAGTAATCCGTCCAAGCTTGCTTGCAGATTTTCTGTCTAGTATCCTTGAAATTGCAAGAGCTGCAATTCAAGTTGGGTTACGGAGTTGATGAGTAAAAATGATTGTAAAAAATAATTCTGTTCTGTCATGTTTATCAGTGGTGATTAAAAGATATGCAGAAGATAGTATAACAAGTGTCTGAGAATAGAAATCATATGATATCCGTTTTCAAACAACATGAATCTATCCCAGTTTACTAAATTCTGTACAAATAAAGAAGCATTCTGACTGCTAATCTGTCTGACTGAAAGATTCCCTCGTGGTGAATAGTCTGGTTCAATCCTTCCCTCACTGACTAATTACCTCCCTCTGGAACCTGGCTATTGCTGGGGCTGGCACCAAGTACATGAAGAATAACAATAATTCCATTATGTTATATAACTTGATTAAATAGTATATCTCAAAATGCAAAATATTCTGTATACTAGACCCAAATATTCTAAAATATTATGATTTTAAAAAGCATAGACCAGACTGTGATGCAAATGGTTCAGTCTACACCAATTTAGGTATTCTGTAACACTTGATTTTCTTCCACTAGAATAGTGGAAGATAATGAATTGTTAAATATTTCTTAAAGTGGTACCAAATATCTCAATAGAATATGAAATTTTGTAAAAACTGAAATAAAACCCGACTGAATACAATCAACCATTCCTTCTAAGAAGCATTTGATCTTCCTACTTTCAAGCATGATAGGCACATTTAAGAACTCAAGCATTTGACAAAAACCCAGTGTCTTTGCTGAGTTATATCTCCCTATGATTATGGTTTTATATTTTGCCCCAAGAGTTGTACTGCCTGATAATGCCTTTTAGTAAACTATACAACTCTTAAAAAAATAGAATCAAAAGGGGGCCAACAGAAGAAATCAGTGGATATGGGATATGATCACATTATAACTTCGGTAATCTATATTTTTTTGTTTGTTTTTTTGTGACAGGGTTTCTCTGTGTAGCTTTGGAACCTATCCTGGCACTAGCTCTGTAGACCAGGCCGACCTCTAATTCACAGAGATCCACCTACCTCAGCCTCCCTAGTGCTGGGATTAAAGGTGTGTGCCACCAACGCCCGGCTGATCTAAAATTTAATGATATACAGATTATTTAATTTTTGAGCACTATAAATGATGCTGCTGTGAAGATTTGTTCATGTGGTTTTGTGTGGAATTCTCTTCTGTGTTTCTCTTAAGACATTAACAGTTTTCCAAAGTGTCAGTATATTTTCAATTCCACCAGCAACATGTGATGATTCCCATTTATCTACAACCTTATTATCTGTGTTTTCTATTGTACCCATTTTAAAGGGTATGTATCATTGTGGTTTTGATTTGCACTTTCCCTAATAATTAATGGGACTGATCATCTCGTCATATACTTGAGTAATCTTTGACGTTATGTCTACTCAAATCCTTGCCATTTTTATTGGATTTTTTATACAATTCTGCTACATGACTTATTTATAGTCTGTTAAAAAGTCTTTTATCAAATATATAATTGTAAATATTTTATCTCCTTTCAAAGGATGCTTGAAAAAGTAGCTTTTAATTTTTATTATTACAATTTATCTATTTTTCTCTTTCTATTTACGCTTTGGTGTCATATCTAAGAATAAACCATTTTCTAACTGAAATCTATAAACATTTACTCATACCTTTTTTCCAGAAGGTCTTATATTTTGGGTCTTTTTCTATGTGAGATTCTTCCAGAGGATATATTAACAACTGTCTATTCATTCTACATAGAGAACCAACAGCAAACCAAAGTAGCTATCTGCAAAAGTCTAACCCAGAGAATCAGTGAGGATATTTGGGTTAGTTACGTGAATATACTCCAGGGATTAATTACCAAAACACAAGTGCCTCAAAAGCAGCTGCATCACCAAAAAAGAAAAAGAAAAAACACCCACTGCATCCTGGGTGACTACCCAAAAATGTCTGCATCCTTTGAGCTCTCTGCATATTCTGCAAACAACTCTACAGGTAGGAGAGTCTTTTTGAAGCAGCTCAGCTGGTCAGTCTGTTCCCAAAGCAGCTGATTTCTCCTTCTAGGGGAGGAGCCTCATGAATCTTTTAACTTTCACATTTCCTTCACTGATGAGGGCTCTTTATCTCCTCACAAGTCCCCCTCCCCCATACAAAAATAATATTTCAATTCAGAGAAAATTGCTATACAACTGTGCTGGTTAGTCTAATGGCAACTTGACACAAGCAAGAATTATATGAAAGAGGGCTTGTATAAGATCCAGATGTAAGGTATTTTCTTAATTAGTGGCTCATGAGGGAGGGCCCAGCCCATTTTGGGTGGTGCCACCTCTGGATTGGTAGTCTAGAGAACTGTAAGAAAGCAGGTGAAGAAGCCCTGGGGAGAAAGCCAATAAGCAGCACACCTCCAAGACCTCTGCATCAGCTTCTACCTTCAGGTTCCTGTCTTGTTGGAATTCTGTCCCTTTATTCCCCTACCTAAACCAGAAACTAGAGTTGACTATACTATGGAAGCTGCGAAGGGATTTTACTATCTTGTCAATTTTAGCTCTTCCTATTTCTGATTATGAATACCTTTCTGATTATTTAAAAGTTTTTCTTTATTTCAATAAGGTTTAATAGTTTTAAAAGTGTAAATCTACTAATTTTATAAAATTTATCCTTTAAGATTTTATTAAAGAAATTAGAATGTTTTTCAATGCATTTTCAGATTGCTCAGTGCTAGTAAATAAAAATTCAATGATTGCTTGCATATATATTGATTGGAATACAACTTGATGCACTCACTTGCAGTTTTAATCATTTATAGAGAGAATTAAGCATATTCTATATTTAATAACATGTTATATCTAACTAATAGATTTACATCTTCCTTTACAGTTTGGATATTAGATGTATTTTGTGTTAGTCTTTTGTGGGAATATGCTTTTATTTCCTTTGGATATATACTACAATGTACATTGTTGTGGCAACTGATGAGT